CGGTGATTGTATTTTGACATCATACCGTCCATCTTGACAGTCAGCCTCTTTTCATATTATGATATTAAAAAAGGAATTTTATTTGTATTTTTTAGATAGCTAGTATTTTTTTTATAAAAAAATATTACCCGATTATAAGAATTATCCCTTTTTTGTTGGCGATGGCGAGGTGATGAAAACTTATAAATTACTAGCGGGCACCCGTTATGTCGTCCGCGTTAATTTGGAAAACCCCACAGGAACCAAACATTTTCCGGGTTATAAAGTATCCTTTGTCTCAATCCAGGTCATAAACTATTTGCGTACCAAATTTCATCCAAAGCCGTTCAGTAGTTTAAGAAGTAGGAGTAGTGGATGCGCGCGACTTCGTCTGCATAATTCAATTAATTTGAAAACTTCTACGCCTCTTTTACCCCCTTCAAGGATGATTTCTGGGATAAAAACTACCCCTTTCCCCTTTCCCGAACTCAAACTATATTTATACCAAATTTGATCTCAATTAGTTCAGCGGGTCAAGCGTGAAGTGGTAACAGTCAGACATACAAACTTTCGCAATTAAAATAATATTAAGTATGGACGGATGTAACTTTACTAGTTCAATCAACTACACATACAATATTTGATCGTAGGGTTACGTAGACCAACATAATTTACTATCATAGAATTACGTTGATTTGCGATTGGTTTTGCCTTTGTCCCTTCATGGTCTAGTTGTTAGCAATGAGTGGCCACGGCTGGTCAATGCTGCCCTTTCATCATCTGGAACGCTCGAGGTTTTTCTATTGTGATTCTTTATCTATGCCTAATTATGGTACTTGGTCCTAGTATTTTTTTTGTGTTTATGTTGTTGGTCGCAGATGACTTTTACAGCGTCACCGGGTTTGGGGACGGAGATCCTAAGGGGACCTCAAGCCTGAAATTGGCGAGTGCCTCTAGAGCAGTGTTTCCTAACCTTTCCAATACTGCTACCCCTGTAACCTATTAGAAAAACAGATTTTACCCCGTCTTTAAAATGTTATCATCAGTCTGAAAATTCCAATTTGGCCGATACATCTTCATCACTAATAATGTCATCATCAGGATAAAATCTCGCCCCGCTTCCCACACTCAGCACCCCGCGGGCTCGCTAGCAAGAAGGAGCGCATGCTCTATTTAGTAGTATTTTATATAGTATTTTATTATTATTTAGATTGGACCAAATAATTAGGTTCTTTGTTACCCCCGAAGTATGGCTGATTTACCCCCGGAGGGGTAATTACCCCCAGGTTCGGAACCCAGGCTCTAGAGGTATTCTAGGCGGATGGCTTCTCTTCATGGGGGATGTCTCCTCTCCGTCTGGAGCCAAGGTTCTAGTGACCAGTCACTGTCATCATATAAATGGCTATATGGCCTTAAGGGTCGTCCATAAAGAACTTTACGCGTTAAGGGGGTAGGAGGGTTGGACAAAGTGTGACAAGAGGTAGGAAGGGTCCAAACTTTCGAGAAAATTTCAAAATCTAATACTTTCAAAGTATGTATTATTTATTTATTATCAAAAAACTTTACAATATTTCGAACTCTATCTGTATGGGTCATATATTATATAAAAAGGAGTAGGTATCTATTGTTGTAGCTATCAATGTACATGTTCAAAACAGTTTGTCTGTCAGTCACCTCTTCATGCTTAAACTGCTGAATCGATTTAAATGAAGTTTGGTATGGAGATGAGATGAGTCCCGGCAAAGGACATTGGATGGTTTTTTATCCCAGAAATCATCTTTAAAGGGGGTGAAAAGGTGGGTGGAAATTTATATGGAAATCCAGTTATGCCACGCAGAATTCGCGAGCAACCCCTAATTTTAACATTATCAATGCGAAAATGTATCTGTCCGTCTGTTACCTCCTCCCACTTAAACAGCTGAACCGATTCTAATGTATGTTGGTTATAATTTTTATTTTTTAAGCATGTAACTGCTCGATGTTTGTATCCAAAGAAACGACAAGAACACAGCCATCAGGGCTGCGGTAGCATAATGGTCAGTGCATTCGCCCGGATAGCGAAGGGTGCGGGTTCGAGTCCCGTCTGCTGCCTGGTCCGCGTAGATTTTTTTTCTAGCAATATTTTCTTTGGATATAGATATCGAGCAGTTACATGTTTAAAAAAAATATAACTGTAATTGCTATTTCTTCTTAAATATGTTCAATACTGTAAAGGTATTCATTTGACATTGTAGGTTACCTACAATGAGAAGAAATGGCGCTGCCTTGCAGCTTAACAAAGGCTAGAAAGAATTCGACACGGCCATCAAGGCCGCGGTAGCATAATGGTCAGTGCATTCGCTCGTATAGCGAAGTGTGCGGGTTTGAGTCCCGTCTGCTACCTGGTACATGTGAAATTTGGTTTTGAGATGAGATGAGTCCTGAGGTTGGGACCTTTAAGGGGTTGAAAAAGGAAGAGGAAAGAAGGGCCGAATACAAATGTCTTTTCATTGTAATTTTTGATACTAAAACTTTGACCATAATGGAGTGTTCGTCATTGTTACAATACATGCAGACGCGGCCCCCCAAATTGAAATATCTCAAAAATTTGCCAAATGATAAAAGGAAATAAAACCTCGTGCTGCGCCTCGGCAGTCACTTCGCGATAATTATGAAGGCAATAACGAGGAATATTTTCGGAGGACCGTTTATACTCCACTTACAGATAGCATAAGTACTCACCTACAAGACCGACTTTCTGCGGATACAATAAACTTGTACGGATTAGGCATTTTTATGCCGAAATCTGAATATACAGAAGAAGATCTTCTTATTGTCAAGAAAGTATCTGAATTCTATTCCCATTTTTTAAATGTTCCTGCTACCACTGTCGTTACAGAGTATTAGCTGTGGATTACAAAGTGCAAACGGGAGGTCACAGAAAATGCTGATACGAAACTTCCTAAGTGTGTAATATCTGCCATCGAAGTTTGTGATGATGATTTATACCCAAATATAAAGACATTTCTCAAAATTCTAGCATCTCTTCCCATAACTGGTGCGACAGCAGAGAAATCCTTTTCTACGCTTAGGCGTGTAAAAACGTGGTTCAGAGCTAACATGTAAGAAGAGCGATTAACAGGTTTAGCTCTTCTAAACATTCACCCGGAAATAGTACCTGACGTCTCAAATATTATCACCCGATTCGCAAATACAAAAAGACGGCTTCCATTTGTTTTATAAGTAATCTTCTGTATATATAAAACTCAAAGGTGACTGACTGACATAGTGATCTATCAATGCTCAGCCCAAACCACTGGACGGATCGGGCTGAAATTTGGCATGCAGGTAGATGTTATGACGTAGGCATCCGCTCAGAAAGGATTTTGATCAATTCTACCCCGAAGCGAAGCGAGGGCTGGCCACTAGTATAAAATAAAATTGTGTCTTGTGCAATAATATTTATTTTATTTTAGATACCTATTTTTTATTCGTGTAGTGAGTGACTCCCTCCAAAATTTCAGGCTACGACCACGCCTGAATACATTTCGGTTGTCCAGTAATTTGTTACACTACTAGCTACAGGTTTAACAGCAATTAAAAAGCTGAAGGAGCCATACTATATTATTCTAACAATACAATTCAAAACGCAAGTGCGGTCCTGCGTGGAGTATTGCTCGCACCTCTGGTATGGCTCCGCTAAGTACTTACTCTATGCCTTGGATAGGTTGCAGCGGCGCGCTGCCCGCATCATTGGCGATGAAGAGGTAACCAAGAAACTCGAGTCTCTACAATTACGCCGCGATGTGGCATCATTAAGCGCATTCTATCAACTTTACCACGGCGAGTGTTCTGAGGAGTTATTCTCCCTTATCCCTCCATCACCTTTTCTTCAGAGAACCACGCGCGCTGGCCTACGTTGCCACCAACTTACTGTGGCCACTATTCCTACACGAACAAAGAAATTTGGTGACTCATTTCTTTGTCGTACTATTCGTAAGTGGAATGCTCTACCCGCGCAAGTGTTCCCCTCCTTCCTATAATCTAGGGTCCTTTAAGAGAGGCGTGAAGAAGCATTATTGCAGGCCGGCAAGGTGAGGATGATTGGTGTAGCAGTTTATAACTGCGGTACCAGCTATCTTCGCGTTTGGACTTTTTTACCACTTAACATCAGGTGGGGTAGAATCATTTGCCTACCTCTATATATAAAAAAAAAACAATATGACTGTTATCATAACATAATACGTCAACGGATTAGCCTTGCTATCCAACGTGGAAATACTGCCAACCTATTGAGCACCGTACCTGACAGCGGCGTTAGGGGTGATATAGTTTTTATTTTGTAAATTGTATACTATTTAAGTACTTAGTTATTTCTGCGTCAGAAAGTATGTAGCTTCACCTATCCTCACCTTGATGGCCTAAACCAAATCCATTACCCCATGGACTCTGGAACCCTCTACAGCAACAGGAACACAACATCAGCAAAATGTTGTCGTGTGTTATTTCAACATCAAAGTTTCCCTTAAAATGGTTAAGTAAAAAAATAATAATTTGGAACTGATTCAACTATCTTAAAATCAAAAGGGGTTTTAGAAATTTGATATTTGAATTGAACGTATTTAACTATCATCTTTTAAATTTGAAGTTCAATGTTTCTAATTTTCTTTTTAATTTAATTTTGTTTGAAGTATTTACTTAAGTTTAATATCTTTGAATTGTCAATCTGAAAGGTGTCGTCATGCGATTAAAAAAAGAAAATTTATCAATTGACAGGCCTTTACTTCCTTCAACCCAGAAACAGAATTAAATTTATCTCATCGTACTTTAATTGTACCTATTACCAGGCGAACATCGCAGAATTGTATTAACAAGTGGTTTAATTTGTTGATTGCTTTCAAATAACCGTGTGCGTTTAGCGAATCAGTGATTAGAAGACACAAACGGCAGAAAATCATGGAAGCCTTATCTAGAACCCACCCACGGCGTATGTAATAGTCTCAATGAAATAATCCTTACAAAATTTGTTCAATGTCCGTGACCTCTGCGTATGCGAGTATATAAGTAACGGCCAGCATCACATCTCTTCAGTATCTCATTGACATTCGCGGTGTACACAGGCGTTGGCGACTTAATTTTTTTGATACGTATTCTATTTTTGAAATATTTTTTTGACAAAATGCTCAAGTTATTCCTTGTCGCCTATCTTGCGTCGGTGGCAACAGCCAGCGTTATACACGACGGGAACTGCCCGGACATAAAGCCGGTTGAAAACTTTAACGTGTCTGCTGTGAGTATAATAAATAAGCTTTCCTTTTTCTAATATTTTTTTTTAACTCAAGCTCAGTCCAAACAAATAGAAAACCAAAATCTTCTCATAGAGGAACTCCGTTAAATTATAAAATGATTCGTATTTTGTTTATAGCTTTCTGTAATATTGAATTAAATGAGCCTTAAAAAGCATGGAATTAAATATAATTTCACTAGAAACAAACCTTTAAACTACCTTAAAAGTACTATAGATTCTCTTGAACTTTATTTTATTACTAGAGACCGGCCGCGTCTTCGTCCACGTTAACTTTAGTTTTTTTAAAATCTCCTAGGAACCTAACACATTTCCGGGATAGAAGTATCCTTTGTCTCAATCCAGGTCATTGACTATATGCGTACTAAATTCATCCAAATCCATTTCACAGTTTTGGCGTGACTGAGTTACCCCTCGGCTACACCAAATTCATAAACTAGTTTTTATACAAAACTAGTAAAATACTTGATAAGGTTGTTTAAAACATTTTTCCGTTTACACTGCATAGACAACTAGTAATCATTCATTAACATCACATATTTTGTTTATCCAACAAGTTTGCTGTAAGTATTGCATGTACATGTACATAAGTGTGAACAAAAAATAAAAAAATTATTAAATACATTTTTATTATTATACCTTGGTGTAAACGAGGGGTAACAAACACACAAACTTACAAACTTTCACATTCATAATATTAATACGAAGTAGGATAGCAGGATTTGTTATTGTACCGGCTAATGAAAAAGACATTCTGATAATTCCACCCTGTAACATGTTTCATGAGACACAGCGTTTTGCCGGACAAACGGACTTCAGAGGTTCAGTAACCACTTGTTTACACCAAGAAACAGGTCATATACTAGTTTTATAGTGCTGCAATCTAAAATACTAACTAATGAAGAGCGAAGATTGTTGTTTTAAATATTTTGCCAGAACAATAAAATTATGGAACCGTACAAAAAAGAATTGACATAAAGCATGTTTACTGTTACGAGAGACTCACATGGAAGTTTGCAATGTAGACACGGGCAGCAAATAATGGGTTATAAACAAGGGTACAACCCATTGGCGATCTCCGTGACTGAGTGGTATGTACGCCGGGATTCAAGGTGTCGCCTACTCGAGAGATCCTGGATTCGAATTCTGGTGGGGGCAGATGTTTGTGTGATGAATACGAGCATTTGTTCTCCTGTCATGGATGTTTAATATGTATTTTCTATACAAAATATACCTTTATATATATTAGTACCTATATGTATTCTTTCCGTTACCCTAGTATCCTATAAGACAAGCCTACAGTGCTTACTTTGGGGCTAGGCTAATTGGTCTGAGTGTTGGAAATATTTATTATTATTTTTTTTATTATCCGTACTAATATTATAAATGCTATATTTGCCGAACAACCGATAACCGTTGGGGTAGACCAGTTCTGGAGTAGAGACCGCGTTTAGGCAAACGTAGTGTAGGACGTCCTCAGGCACGGTGGAGTGACGATTTGCGCAAGGTGGCTGGCAGGAGCTGGATGCGAGTAGCCCAAGATCGATCTGAGTGGCGTGCAATTGGAGAGGCCTTTGTCCAGCAGTGGACTAGGATAGGTTGTTGATGATTATAAATGCAAAAGTATGTCTGTCTATAACCTCTTCACGTTTAAACCGCTGAACCGATTCATATAAAATTTGGCATACCAAAACATGGAGTATCTTGAATTAAAGCATAGTCTACGTTCAATAATGAGGATAAGTTAAAATATAGTGTTTAACTTTCGCGACTTTTTGACTAAGTTACACCGGTCGTGGTTACGAGGCGACCGGTGCAACCTGATAGAAACATCGGGATAAAGAAGGTACGAAAATCTTTATTGCAAGTATTAAATACTATATTTTAAATGCACATTGTAAATATTTAAGACTAAAGCCTGTAACAATCGTATTTGTAGAAAGAAATTGGTTAAACATGATTTCAAAATTTTTCCTTGGGTATATAATGGGAAGCAAAGGTACTAGAAAACAATAATCAAAAGAGACTTCATCTTTTAAAGAGTCGAATTAAGTTAAATCTATGAAAATGTTAATCCATATTTTTTTATTTTATTAAAAATCCATATCCGTTCGTATCAAAAGTCAGGGTGTTGCGATTACTATCTGTGAACTTTTTTTATGTAAAAAAATGAACTGTTTGTTAAAAAAATGAACTATTTAAAAAAAACTTTTTTTTTAAACAAAATGTTAGGCTATGGATTTTTAATTTAAAAAAAGTCCATATCGTTCGTATCAAAAAATTCAGAGTGATTGCGATGACTGTTTTTTATAAACTTTTTTTTATAAAAACAAGTGTTTTGTTTATTTATTTTGGGCTAAGATAAACGCGATATCATCATTGTGTCATAATCAGTAAGTTTCGTACGTCTCCCACTACATTAGGTAATCGATCGAATCGATTGATTTTTTTTAAACAGTATAAATTTAAATTTTGATCACCAATCCAAAGTGCGGCCTATGAAATATATAGTTGCTTTTCATCAGAAACAATACACTAAACACATTTACCATGTCTTATTTACTACATCAATCTTCATATAACAGTTTTCTTAAATATAATTTTTAATAAGCATAATGTCTCAAACAAATATTAACTTCTTGTAGTCCTTCTCCATATAAATTTTTATTACACAATATAACAACTGCTTCATGGGCAAAATATCCTTTAAAAAAAATGAGTGTGCTCATGACCACACGACTGAAGTGAAACTTCTTTAGCCCCATCTGTATATATATATATATATATATATATATATATATATATATATATATATATATATATATATATATATATATATATATATATATATATATATATCCTTATGTTGTCGTAGTTCCTCCCATTTGCACGAAGCGATTTGCTTCGGTTTTCGTTATGTGAACGGCTAGGGAGTGGAACTCCTTGCCGAGGTCTGTTTTCCCGGACCAATATAATCTGGACATCTTTAAGGCCAGAGTGAACAGGAATCTTCTAGGCAGGCGTGTACCATCCTAGGCCTCATCATCACTTTCCATCAGGTGAGATTGTGGTCAAACAAGGCAGTGTGAGGATGGCTGGTGTGGCAGGTAGAACTTCTGTATCAGCTATCTTCGCGTCTGGACTTCACCATCACTTAACATCAGGTGGGGTGGTCATTTGTCGGACCTATCTTCAAAAAAAAGCTTACCCCCCAAGTCAAGCGTGCGTATAGAAATTTCACTTCAAAAAGAGTAGGAACGAAAGTATATTTGCTTCACGATATAATGATTTTTGTTTCTTTTCTTGTCGATACAAAAATAAATTAAGATTTAGTATTATTATTATATATATATTATATATTATTTAGTATTAGCATTTTTATCGCGACTGATTCACCGCACCGCAGATTATTCGCACATTGCCGATTTTGTATATTTCGCTAATCGGACTTCAGACATGATAACTACAGATAATAATTTCCTACTAGATCTCTGAGGCATTATAAGTATTAAATTCATGCAAAATTATTCTATCTTCATGTTAAGCGCCTTCCTCACATGTAGGGCAATTCTGTGAAATAAAATCTCACTTCCGATTTAGGTAGCTGCAATTTTAGACATTAGTTTGATATGCATTACGCCATTACACGGCAAAATGTCGCTATGTCTGTAGAAGCAGCCTGTATTAGATATTTGACATTTGTCAGAAATAGCAAAAAGGTTAGTCGACATCACAGGAGACCGAAGAGCTGGCAACTACCTCGGACAAAGAATAAGTCTAGCTATTCAAAGGGGGAACGCTGCTAGTATCTTCGGAACCTTGCCTAAAGGGACTCCTTTTAATAATGTATTTTAGTTATTATATTTAATTTTTTAAGGTTTTTAGTTTAAGGTTAATTTTTCTAGTATTTTATTATTTGTTTTAAGTTAGTATTAAATAATCGAAATACGAATAAATGAGATCGTCACTGATATTGCATCTTACAGAATACCTATGCTGGTCGGTGCGGGCTCGTTTCGTTTTTGTTTCTGTATCGAATTTGTTCAGATTCTTTGATCTTGATGTAATTAAATGAGCGCTTTTTACTGAGTCGTTTCGGTACATATTGGCTACCGAGCAGATATACAGCTCTCTGTATCGAGTGCTAACGATTGCTACCGAACCATTCAGACTCGCACGTCCAGTCACTCCCGCAAATAAAACCGTAGCAAATAAAACGAAACGATAGCGCATCGAAATAGGCTAGTTGACTCATGTCAAATTGCATTATACAAATATTTATTTCTTATAAAAAATTGTTATGAGGAACCTAAATACACCGATTTCACTTCATAAAATTAGAAGATGGCTGTAGTAATTTAATTTGAAAAATAGTTTTTTTAGTCTATGCTTTTTAAACACTAAAAACGCTGTCCACCATGATTGTGACGTCAACATAATAGCAAACAACTAAATGTCATTGTCGTGTTACTGTGGTTTTTTCGTCCGACTAAAATATATCTAAAAACTCTTATATCTTGAAGAAAAGTTTCCGTTTATTGGTTTTCTTGACTAAATTAATGCTTTCACAAATCCGGCGTGATTTAGATAATTACTATATTTATCATGAAATCTATTAGATATCATGGTTTTGTAATGTAAATTCAGATAGGTTATATCCTACGTGCTTGCAAGTGTTTGTTTACTATTTTGTTCCCGTCATACCATAAATAATCTGTAGACTAAAATGGCCGACAGCGTTTTTGTATGTCCATGAAAAATCTATTTTAAAATTAAAGTTTTGTAGCTTTCTAGGTAAAAAAAAATACAATACATTTTTTTTCGGTCTAATTGAACAATCATTAACCATTTAAAACATATTTCCAAAAAGTGTCAAATAGCCTATTGAGCCGGTAAAGAATCTGTTCAGATTCGGCACAGAAACAAAAACGAAGCGAACACGCGCCGATCTGGTGACGAAAGCGCCTAAAACATACTTGAAGATA